CTATTATAAGTAATCACCACAGTCAACACATGAAGCTTCCACTTGCTTTCTAAAGTACTTATTCATTCCATCCACAGATAGATAAACTCGAATGCCGCGTCTGGTAGCTGGTCACTTGTTTGCTTACCTAAAATATGGCAAACTGGTCCAGATCGTTAACTGGTCTAAAGGCATTTAATGCTAAAAAATGGAGTCCATCGGGTAGAAATGCTCCGATTTCACTATTCTTCAACGCTAGTTTGGCACATCCAATCCATCTGTGTTGTGCTCTGTCGCCTCCATGAACCTTTGTTTAAAGGACCTCCAGAAATAATTTATTGCATCTGCAGAGCAGAAAGTTCTCACATGTTCATTGGTAGTGTGCCGCAGAACGCATTATTTACAGCGGCTTTCCTGTCGCGCAACAGTCGAAGCATCCTCTGCTCTTTACTGAATTTAAGACAACTAAAATCTCATGTGTTCCAAGCAAATTGTACCATGAAATCATGTGCCGGCAGTCTTTATACGTGCCTGCTCCACTGTTGGCTGGAACGTTTGTAACTGAGATCAAAAGCCATTAAATAACAAAAAGATGTCCCCAATTTGGTTGGCGATAGGATAAAATTCTACTTCAAATCCACTTCGAATAGATTACTTGAACCAGCTTGCTTGTGCGTAACTCTTAATCTAGGTAAAATGTTGGTTTTCACCAGAATGGCATGTGCTGACTTTTTTCCCTCTACCGGCAGCGGCTACATCAACAGAGTTTCAACATGCTTGTTGACGTTTCAGCATATTGGCTGAATCATCTCAAAGCTACTGTCACATAAGAAGACATACAACCTGTCAGTCACTGTTAGTTCCACAATGGATTAGGTGTATCCGATGAGATTGACACAGCAAAGTCAATCAGAAATCTATTCCTATTCGTTCTTAGTCCATTCGTCATCTGAGATTTTGATCAGTCTCCCGCCTACACTAATCCATCTTTACAGGAAACACCGATTCGGAGCAGCTAAGCCGTTTCCAAATCGGAGGATTGCCCAACCAGTTGTCTGATTTTAGAATCAGCCAGTAAACTGTACTTTCAAATTGTTTTTCCCATGTATATTATTCCTACTAAGTGAGAAGAACAGCTAGCTCTTTCTCCTGAACATTAATTTGCTATGCACAGTTGCTCGCAATTCCTTTTAAGGTTGGATAAACCGCCGTTTGGTTTTCCAGCCTTGATTTTAGAATCCGCATTTTGCTGCATTGGTCGTCTGGCGTTATTTACATAAGTTGCCATCCATTTATCTGGTAATATATTCTTTGTTTCGTTATGTGCGCTGGATCTGAGCATGAGTAACAGGTGTGTACCGAACCAGAGAGTTTCATTAAAAAACCTGTTAGTATTATTATTCTCCTGACATTCCACTACAAGTGTTATGTCCTGCAAACTGATTACTCTCTTTCGTGCTCTGGTTTGCCTTGGATGAGAAGAACTTTTCCAGTTTTAGCGATTGTATTCCAAGTGAACCTCTTAACTATTCACACGGTTGTAGTATTGTTCAGCTTTGACTGTGTAGATGAAGTACCACTTGCTTGATCACCGGGTGACTCAAGTTGCGAGCAACTGAGCCACACAAAAACATTCCTTTCTTAAATAGTTCTTAAATTGTACCATTTTATAAAGACATATTTGTGTTCAGAACGTAAAGGTAAGAAGCCAGGAAGACTGATTCCTTCGTTAAGGTTGTGCCTAGACGGTTTCTTCAGAGAACAGGGAAACTAACAAATTTTGTAAACGGCGATACACTTTCTGGTGTGTGACTTGTTCGTTTAGGTATCGTACTGCAGCTTACATGACCAGAGGTTGCTTGCAAACATGGGGCTAGGGTGTAGATACATGGAAATCTGGGCCCACGTAAAGGATATTATTTCCGCTTTTCTGCTCCTTACCTACATTGAAGCATACTTGCTAAATGATATACACACAAGTACCGTACAAATAAGGTTAATAAAACCCCTCTGCGCCATTTGTTGAAATGTTGCATTCGACAGGTCTCTTTCTTCAGAATGAAATTATCTTAAAAATCCTCTGTTGCTGTGCACGTGGCAGCATTTAGGACGGATGTGCCTTAACAATTATATGTCTAACTGAAATTAAATGTAATCAGGTATTATTATCACCGTGACCTTTTCTACACAACCAGGGATGCTGTACGCTTCCTTGAGTCGAGAAAGGATTAATTCGGTACGCTTTTGATTGAACGCATTGACATTCACTGGGGTAGGTCGTGGTTAGGGATAATCAGGTGTACTTGCATTGTCAGTTATCAAAGGCAATTTTGACCTATCTTTTTAACCTAAATCCTGTTGTTCGTGCCCTAGCGATTTTCTGAGCCTAATTCCTTTGTTCAGTAACTATGGGTAATGTAGAATATGTGATTTTGTATGATTACTGACGTAAAGTAGCTACAGGATATTAGTTTGTCTCCAAGTCGATGTCTTTCATATTAGATTGCCTCAATCGGATAAAAAAAGAGCAGTACCAAGGGGCAAATTCTCCCAGAACACTTTACAAAGTCTACCTGTCACTATCTAAAAACTGAATTAGTTTTAAACACGTCAGGGAAAATAGTTGCGCCGCTAGAAATACTAATCTCGGACAAACACATAACGATAAGATAGTATCAAATAAACCGAAAAAGTATCTCATGGTTAGAAGCCTGAGTTGAGCACAAATACAGTGGTTCACACAACACAATTTGTAAACCTTCCCTGGTCTGTCGGAGACAGCATCGATCTCTTGATTAACCAATGTGGTTCATGCACAAAGTGCACATAAGGAATACTTGCCAGAGCATTCGTCACCGGCCAGCCAATTATATTTGAGTCTAAAAATAAAACAAACCTCTTCATCGGTCTCTCAGGCGCACAGAACAATAGTCTCTATGTTTGACCACCATGCGCATACTACTTTGGAATTCACACTTTCCTAAGAATTCAGATACCTTCCCCAGGAAATGGTGCTGTGCTCGGCGTTAAGAAATGGGCAGTTCTGGAAAGCAAACCAGCATCCGGTGATGTGCTTGGTATGATGTCAGGGTCGAAGCGAAATGTCCACCGATCAGTATGATTGACTTGTTATTTATCATCAAAAACGAACGTTTATTGAGTGCAATAGCTTGGGCAGTGCCTCTGAGGTTCCTTTTGCTATTTTATTGGAGAAAAATGCATTCACCTCTTCCGGCTTCATCACTGAAAATCATCAGGCTACTTTAAGATGTGCAGCTATTAAACTTTTAAATATCCCATTGAACTGCGCGTTTTTAAAAATCCAGTCTGAATGTTTTTGACAACAGTAGGAAATTACGAAACGTGGACCTTAATCAGTATAGCTAGAACCAACCATTTTTGATGTTAAAAACAGGGTTTTAGCTACTCATAAGGTTGCTGAAAACTCTGACAGACAAGACCAGTTTTGCCCTTCTTGGGGCTCACCAGGTAGACACAGTCCCCGAGTTTCCATCAACTTTATGTTCTACTTAAACCCAAATTGGACAGAGTTCGACAAATACTCTCATTAGCATAGCAATTTGGTTCCGACGGGAGACTCACCTGGAACCCAGCTGAGTCTCTCATTTATGATGTTCTTCACCAGGTAGTCTGATGTTTCAGCTGGCATGCTATTAGAGACATCGTGATACATGTATAACCGTAAGAGAAGAGCACATTCAGTTGGTTAAACAACATAAATGACAGATTCATCTGGGTCCTACGTGAATCTCCCGTCAAAACCAAATGCAAATAAAGTCATCCATCGTGAATTGTATCTATGTGGTCAAAGTGAAATGGAATTTTCATATCATTTGCGCCTATTCGATAACATGGTCAGAGCGATTTTTGATTGACACTCCTAAGATAGAAATCGATCATGATTTTTCAAGAGAATCAAGACGTTCAATACACCCGACACCACAGACTCCAAACGTACACGTTGTCCATGATCGAATTTCTTGGCCAACCACGGCACCCATACTTAACACTTGTAGGGATATATTTCGAGGCTTTTTCGCTACTCACGAGTAGTTCGGATTTAGGGAGAACCTGTTTCACCCATCGGCGGCAGACATAAAGCACTCAGTGTAAGCAAACAGTTCTATAGCCCCTAGTAAACCTTTGATGTGTTTCCCGTGCATTATTGGTTCCTCCCCTAAGTATTGGTAAGCTTGTATGGTGAAGTCTATGAACTTCCGCACTGAAGCGGAATGTCCTCTGGCTCATTTCGCAAACCTAGTCAAATGTAGCCCCGGGAAGCTGAAGGGGTTTCGTATTGTTTCAGGCTGTCTTTATTTGTCCTCACTTCTTACTCCGATCAACCTGCCGATATTATTTCAAGTTCCTGTCTTGTTTGAACTTTCAGCCCTTGTCCACTTCCCTCTCAACGTTTATTCCTGTCATGACACAAGAGATTTATGCAAACACCTGATATTCTTTCAACTTGGCATGCATAAGAACTGATCTAATAAGCGTCATTTTCTCTCAGTTTATCGTTAATAAATAATACTGCTCCAGTGAAGAAGATCCGTCAAGTACCATATGAAGCAATATCTGTTCTCAGTAGCGCCTTGCGTTCGGTCATAACGTTCAAATTCTATGACTTTCTCATTCCACTGCTGTTCTGATGGTGCTCACTGGTTCATGCCATCCGACTTTGACAACGGACTATTTCTGACAATCTTCTGAGACTTAATGTTTGGTTTCTTTTAAGCCGTATCCCTCACACTTCGTTTTTTGAGTGTTTTCTACTTCCGGATAAATCACCTTAAACAATGGAGCCACTAGTAAGTCCGGACATCAGGCTATTGGATTTGTTGGTTGTGGAGCCCTGTTTAATCCACTTAGTCCCCTATGAGATCGGTTTTGTGAAAGAAAAGCCTGCCTCATAAGCGCTTATATCTTTGCTTCTAAGTTGGGTTACCGTTCAATAATTGGACGAATCCTGTCAAACTAAAGCTGACTTGTTTCTATTTCAGCACGAGCGTGGTGTAGTTCACCGTGACCTAAAGGCGGAAAACGTACTGTTCGTGGCAAGTGGAATTGTGAAGGTTGGTGACTTTGGCTTTTCAAAAAAGATCAACCGAGAAGATGCCTTGACGACGTTTTGTGGTTCGCCTCCTTACGCTGCCCCCGAATTGTTTGTTGCAGATTCTTACACAGGTCCTGCAGTAGACCTTTGGGCTCTTGGAGTGCTTATATTCTATATGGTTGCTGGGCAGCTTCCATTTCGTGGCGATTCAATCGGGAAAATTAAGCGACTAGTTTTGGATGGGCAATACGTCGTACCAGCCCATGTAAACCAAAACTGCAAACAATTAATCAATGGTCTGTTGTGTCAATCAACCCAGAAACGATTTGACATTTGTCAGACCGAACAGTGCAACTGGTTTTCTAATCAGGACTGGTTTCAACGCTCGCATGAGTGTAATCCATCACCAAACCAGATAAGTGACAAGCAGGTTCGTGATCTGTTACGTCAGTGGTGGGATGTAGATGATGCTGAATTGCGCAAAGCTCTTGACGAAGGTCCTCAAAACGGCCTCACTGGCATCTACAGAATTCTCCAAGTTCATGGTAAGAAGTTCGTCGAAGGGAAGGTCCCATTTATGCCCAAAAAATCGTCCAAAAAATCACGTGAGAAGAAGTCATTGCCACCGAACGGTGAAACAGTGAAGCACAAGAAACATCACAAAACCACCCTGAAGCAAACTGAAGAGGTGACCACTGTTGACCTACGAGATAAAAATGCGCTCAAGGGTAAAATGCATAAAGCGGAAGATGAACACACCTCAAAGACATGTTTACTTCTGTGATACATGGAGACTCCAACTGTACAAAGCACTTTTATCTGTTGTTCATCTGATGCTTCCTCCCCCCACAATATCCCTCAAACTTCTTTTGCGTAAAATCGACCAAATTCATGTCTAATTTGCCTGTAATGAAATACGCTTCTATTGTTTTCGCAGAAGCGAATGCTTTTTCAAGTAGGTCTTTTTGTTGTCTTTGTATATCGCCCTATTTTCGCATACACACACACACACCAATCATATCAAAAATCTCCGAAATCATTTCAAGGCCGGTCCTGCAATAACTAACCGTCGCTTTTTCGTCACACCAGTGCAAGAGTAAAATATTGGTTTCTTATCCCAATTTTGTCATAATGTTATTTTGAGGAAAATCATCCTGATCTTGACAATTTTATTATTTGGTCCAGTGAAGGAGTGTTTATTTTTTCGTCAGTTTGACCACCAACCTTTACATGCAGTAATAAACAGTACCAGCATCAATCTGTGTTCCGCAGGAAAGATCGAAGTAATTCGCACAGAATGACTTATTCGAAGTGCTGGTCCAATGGGGACGATGATCATCAGTCCGTTCTTGAGTTCGCGGTTCAGAATGGTGGCATTTCTAATCGAATTTTGTCTTCAAATCATAGCAGAAGAAAATTCGTGTAAAATATTTATGCGCTGAACAGAGAAATTCGATTCCTGACCAGTGAATAATTCTTGAGGCTTTCGATGAAAATATAACAATGCTTTTGCCTTCTTTAAAAGGAGGGACAAGTGTGAATGCAATTGGTCGCAAAAATATAGATCCCCCGTAAACAAGCTACATGAGCCTGAAAGAATACAAGGTTTTGTCCGCAAAGTGTCAGGAAATTTACAGTGTTTAACAAGTAGATTTTAAAATGAAACCAAAGGCAACAATTTAACTAGCATATGTTTTTAATCAACACGTTTACAGTGGTTTGGGTACACTTTGAGACTATAAAGAAGCTTATTTTGACGCCGGGTAACATTGATTTAATTTCGTGGAAGAAAACTTAGATGCCAGAGAAATTATTTAAGTTCAGAATGATTACAATCAAAGTCAGCAACATCAGTGTTGACAGTGATGTTATAGTACCGTACAAACATAAGGTTTATCTAATTATATTTGAAACCTTAGAGTGAAAAACAGTGAGCAATTGACCTGGCGCTAACCAATCGCAAGCATTCAGAGATGCCTAAAACTCCAAGCGTCCAATCAGCGATCCACCGACGTTTTTTGCAATATCTTCGGAAAAGCACAGGAGAGGTCACGGGCATCCCATCTTGGAAGACGGGCGACACTGATAACACCAAACTGTTTGTAACTTCTTTGACATCCTTTCACCAAGTCATATCCTGTTATGAATGAGGCATGGGGAACCGTTTACCCGTCCCAGTAGACGGTATTTGAGCTTTCGTGTCACACGGCTAAGCAACTTTAATTGATGGTACTGGATATTTCCGCGATTGATGTAAATACTGCACAACCACATACCCGTTTCTTAATTGCCCGTTGAAGTTACCTAACGCCAGTAACTCTTCTGAAGCATCGGCGGTCAAAAACCGAAAGAAACCCCATGTCATCTGTTCGTAGACGCCATGTTTCGCAAGCACACAACAATACAGGCCTTATTGTAGCTCGGTACGTGTGACACTTAAGACCCAATGATGTGCCCTTTTGACGCCACAAGAGACGTAAATCAACAAACGTGATCCTTGCCGTTGAGATTCACTGACTTTGACAGACACTTCTCCTTATTGAGGTAACAGTGGTATCCTGAACAAGAACAAATTGTGACAAGCAAGAGTTTGTGAAACTCATAGCTTTATATACATATGTATATATATGTATACATTTATATACTCAGAGACGTACGTATACTGTTAACTTGGAATGGAATCCATCGCTATAGATTTCGTGTTGGATAATTTAAGCAGAAAGTCTAAGGATGGTCAAGACTGTCAAAATAAATCAATTATTGTAGGCGGGAAAAGTCGGTTCATTTGGGGTTGACCGAACTGTACAATGGGTGACATATTCCGATGCTTAGATTCACCTTCATAAAGTCCAGATTGTTGGCCATTAGTAGACGTTCAACTAAACAAACCAGTGCCTTCTGTTGAATTCGTTCATCCATGTTCACAATAAATAGTTGCCTGCACTACACGCTGTACAGTGCTTAGGTCCCACAGTCTCCAGTTTTAGAGCTATGGTGCGAAAATCCCACACCTTTGTGAAACACGTACACTGTTTGGATAATGGATGCCCAGTCACTACATTTTCTGGTGCGTTGGTCTTTGGTTTTTCTATCGATCTTCAAAACCTAGTTCTATAATTTGGGCTCATCTTGTTTGACCTATTGAAGGAACAAGATTCATTGTTGGTATCGTAGGAGAATTTTGAAATTTTCAAAGAAGGTTCCTTCATTTAAGTGGAGCCAATCTATGCTGAATCACCTACTTCAACGTCCAAAATCCGCTTGCTCTAAAAACAGCCTACGTGTAGCTCAGAGGACAAATTCGGCAAGATGTGTGAAGATTCCATCTGAAGAATTGTCAATCCAGGAGCCAGTCGACGCGATATAGATTTCGTGATTCAAACATAAGTGACGTTACATCTAAGTGTGAGTAAAGCAACTTGCTGGGTGGTTAAGTGTTCAGACAATTATTTGGGAGGTGACGAGGTTGAACTCCTCGCGATGTGCTTATTTCTGATCATTTCCAAATAAGATAAAAAGGGAATACGTTGCTTCTGGGCTTTACAGCACAGATTAGCCCGACGTACAGGACAAAAACTTTTTTAAGAGTACCCATACTTCTGATGCATGGCTTACGTCCCCCTAAGATATACGAGCAAACCGTTGTTTGCCTGAAAAGCTGATGTATTCGTTCAGTGCACAAAAACGCTCATATTCGTTTTTTGCGCGTGCCGTCTTTACAGTTACCTGCTGTTGCATATTCTGTGGCATCACTGGGGCTTAATGGCTGTAACAGCATTGATAAGATGTTCGCCAGTATCGGATAGACAGCGCTGAAAATCTAGATCATGTTTACTAGGGTATCTTGCGTACTTTATCCATGTGCTCACTACCAGTATTTTGTCATTTAATTGCAGAATACTTGAGCTAGCCAGCATTGGCCTCGCCGATCTAGAGTTCTTCTCAGTAGATGATGGAGTGCTGAATCTCTAGCCAATTCGGTGGGCGCTTGAGAAAGCAGATTTCCGGACACCATCGTGCTGAGGAAAATATTTTGCGTGCCCCAGAAAGAATGGTGGCCTCGAATCGTAATTCCATCAACAAATGGGTTCCACCTTCGGTTCACAGAGGGAAGATTTCAAGTTAGACGTTGACAATGTTTGTTTCAGAAACAGCTAATAGTCAGAGAATAGCTGGCGCAGTTACATTCCGTTGTCCACGTTTTCAGACGGTCTTCTGAAGTAATCGGAGCAACTACAAGAATGGTAATTTTTTTTCATTTGGTGAATCAATCCGTAGAGATCTAGACAGAAGGTCTAAACCTCGTAAATGCAATTTTTCTGGGCATTAACTGACACCAGAACCCGTCAGTATTTTATTTCCAGTAACTCGAACCATGCCTAAGTCGCACGAGCAGGCAACTCAAAACCAACCGTTAGCCGGAATTCAAGCCAACAAGTCACATTCAACCCTGGGACCGAGTAGAATCCTCACGCAATGTGCCATCGCTCCAGGCTTACCGGCCAGCCGGAGGGTATAATGAGACAAACCTCAATCTATCTGTATATGTTAGGGCGTGTGATCAAATGTGCCGTACACGTCAACTCTAAGCACCGCCTATTTGTAGATATCGTGAGCGTGTGATACAAATGGTCAACTAACCAGTCGGAAGAAGAAGGACATCGGGAACTAATATCGATTGTTGAAGTTATTTTCAAGAAACTGGCTGTTCAGAAAGCCCACCAAAGTCTTTACGCAGAGTCAGTATAAATTCTTCCACAACATAGGCACGTACGTCCTCGGATGGTTTCGGTGGCAAGTTAGTTGATAGTTCAGGTATGGGAACACAATCTTTGTCTACACCGCAGGGATGATTGACACTTGATGAAAATACAGGCTGGTGGTTTGTACGGCCGGGTCGATTGAGCAAGCCTCCAGTCATTTTGCCACCTGCGATCAATCGGCTTAGCTCTAACGTTGTTTTGACACCAACTAAAATGGCTAGTGTAGGCCAGTTAATAAGTGACTTGCTTAATTCAAGTTTCCTGTGCCTGCATGGAAGTGTAACAAACATAAATCACTAGCGCCGGAATGCCTGCGCGTCATAATGGCCCAACGAACTCTGAATGTCGTACAACTAACAAAGTTAACACACAAGCAGACGATACTGCTGACTTGTAAGGAGACTAGTGCCAAATTCGCATAATTAATCCGCCACTTCAAAGCTCAGCAAATAACAAAAGACAAAAGGGCAGTCAACGGAGAGGTAAAAATCTATCCTAATCGCTGGAAAAAAGATAGTTACTTACGAAATGTTATTTTAGTGTTTGCCTTGCTTTTGTTTTAATCCTTGCTATATGAAATCAAGACCCGAAAGGACTGTGTATGGTCCCGCACCGAAATCAGTCGCCTAGTGGGTAATGTAGAACTAGGAATGTGCGGACCAAACCCAATGCCACTGAAAAGTTACGATAATTCAGGGTTCTTATAATGGCTGGAGGCCCTCGTGATTTTTTGAACTCATTTCGATTCTGTGGGATGGAGTTTCGCTGCGGTTCTAGCGTTACGTGTATTCCACTACTCACCGGTGGGAAATATGAATAAACCCACTTCAGGAGAATATGTGCTACAAGAAACTTTGGATACCAATTTGCGGAATATTGTTATCTGGATGGTCCTCCTTATTGCTTATTTTTTAGGGATTCGTGCCTACATGTTTTGCCAAAGTTCAGAGAACATGCTCAGCCTATGGCGCATTGAAGATATCTCCTGGAACCGTGCCGAAGTATTTGCATTCAAATTAGCAGACTTGGTAACGAGGTCAGCAATAAACTCAGGGTTGCGAAAACTCCCACTTGCTGTTGACAAAAATATTCAGTAAGCGAAAGACGCGAAAACTTATTATGAGAATAAGATGACCACTTCGGGCAAGCTCTCAATGACACTGACAGCCGGGTGACGTAAGACAGATTAATCATTGTGCTGTAAGCAGTATGCGATAAGAACATTTTCTTGGCATTCGTTGTCAAGTTCGTTTTGTATCCTGCCATATGTGTATTGTTTACACTGTTCCAGCATCACATTTTACAAGCCATGTGTTCTAAGGTTTGCTCCAGCTGAGATTCACTTGTTGTCACTCACCTGTTGTCACTTGTTGCACAACTAATTCAAGGTAATTCAAGGTAATTCAAGGTTTAATGGTCTAAAAAGCAGTTAACTTTACAACGACCGTAGGGTGAACGTATATATATAAAGGGACGCAAAAATATGCGTAATGTTTGCTGAGTATCACATAGAGTTAAACAGTTCCAGATTCGGTTTGGACATAAAATATGCATCTAAATTGTTCTTGAAAATGTTTAAACTTGGCGAATGTACAACGTTGGGAGGTAGGGAGTTCCAAATGAAACATACACGGACCGCAAAAAAGTTCCGTCGACAGTTCACCCTCGAGTGAGATACCGCGAGCGAAAAGTCATGCCTCCTGCCCGTTCGTGGTATGTCATATTTATCGACAGTTAAATTGCGCGCACACCTGGCATTCGTTCTACTGAGTTTGTATCTAGGATGGCCAAAGAGAACAATACTGATCGTGAGAATGCTCATGTAATACATAAGACGCTTCCAGAGTAGAAGACAAGCGTTTGCCACTCAGCCATGCACGTTTTAATTCAAAGCGCTTTTGGTTTGCTGTTTAGCTAAAGTCCTTGTGTATACTCCACCGGGGCAAAGTAGTTGTATGGCTTAATGTAGCTTTATTAGTCATGGTCTTGCCTACTTGATCACAAGATCCCATCAAGTGCTTTTGATCAGATTTGGTCTCCCGTGCACACTACGTCTTCTGACACTGTTGGCGACGTTATCGACCAGGTGGATACAGTGAAATCCCAGCCTCTTCACAAACGGTTCGCAAGCAATCAATTATTTATCACCACTCAGGAGGGACACCAAATTCAAAGATGTGAAATCCAACAACAAAGTGTTAGGAGTCACTGATCTTGAAAATGCAACGGCACGTCTAAGTTATCCGGAGTATAACGAAGAGGTGCAATGTGGTGAGCGCGAGAAATCCAGTGGCGTGTTTTTTCCCTTGCACTTTAATCCTAGACGTGATTTACAACTGTTTCATTTCATATAATCATAGGGATAGTGTGTTTTGTTTAGAAAATGTACCGAAAAACCTCAAATACCGGAATAATGGAAACACGAGGCGGCCTTTGTGCAAGACATTTAGTTGGAGAACATCAAAAACGAAAGCCCCAGCTGAGATTCGGGTGAGTATCCCATGGTTTGCAAATGAGTGTATTTTGCGCCGATTTTTCTGTGGTGTTGACTGCAAACCTGAGTAATCTTTGTTGAACCTTGTATTTGAAGAAATACATTTCACTCTGGTTCATCTGACAGACTTTAAAAAACTCACGCTCCACTCGGTCCAAAGAACCACCATCAAAATGCGTGATTTTTCCCTTTTCTTGGATAAATTTTCTGTTTGCAGGCAACTTAGAGACAGAGGGGTTTTGATCCAAGCAATGTGATTTCTCGCTTTGAGAAAGAGCTGCGTTGTTTCAGCTATTTGGCTATTAAAAACACGTCAGCTTTTACTCCAAACAACTTCATGAAGTGGGAGACTTACCGGGCACTATGCGAGTCATTTGGAGTGGCCGTTTAGAGATCTTTTTCTGAGTTCAAAAATAAACAAATATTTCGTGAGGCGCGCATTGATGATGATACCCAGTAAGTGTGAAACATCTCTACAGTGTTTCATGGATTTGCAGAAAAAATTGGCTTCACACAGAGAACAAAATTCTCAATAAAATACTACGGTTTCCCTTTATATTATAGATTAAACTTCAGATTCGTTTCTACTGAGGCAACCATGTAGATACGCAGAAGACCCATGAGAAATGGGCTTGCACTTGCAACGTGGCTGAATAAACCCAATTTTCTCGTTCTCGATGGACAGAAATACTATGTGTAAGCCCAAATGTTCGTCTCAGCTAGCAAGTCTATCACATGCTGTAGTTTTGGAAGGACCGCTTCCGGAAATGGCTTCTTGACGTTGTGTTCAATGAGCATCCAGTTGGCAGTTCACCATCAGCAGCCTCAATCCCTCAGCGCAAGTAATCGCCTGCTATAGTGATTATTTCGGTCACGCCACTCTCCACCGAGCTGATGTCACGCTTCTAAATATGGACATATTTCACCTGCAATAATACCTATACAAATACCAAACAGTACCCCCAACGGAGAACATAAGTGCCTGCTCACGAAGTGCTGTCAAGGGTTTCGCCTGGCCCCGACTCTGTAGCAAGACTGAGCTCAGCCAATGGCAAGTTATTTGGTGTTGACTAGCTAAACACAAATCAGACAGAACTCCAGACAGGTTTTGTTTTGGAAACCGAACTACCTTCATATTGGTCTTTAAGCACATGCCATCAGACCAGACGACAATTAGGTACGTAAAACCATGACTAACAAGTAAGTTGCGACATAATGTAGACAGTTTATGCACGAACTGGTGGTTTTTTCAGAAAATGAGTGGTGCGCAACTCCTGGGTGAGCTCTGAATGAAAATACACGCAGCGCACATCCTTCGTCACCCTCCCACTCATTCCAACAGACAAACAAACAGGCGGCGAGCACGGAATGTTATTCTGAAGCGTTGCAAACTAAAACCACTCCTTCATTGTCTTTCCAGTCATTTCACTAGTCTGATTCGCTTCACAACATCAAATACTTGTTGCGCAAAATCTGATAATTCCTTTCATTAAAATTAACGCCATGAATGTCTCTCATATGTTGCACTAAACTACGGCGTCGCCTTTTTGGAATATTCGAAATGGCTCCCACCAGTCGCTTACAAATTAGTTCTGCCGTAGATTTCACATATTTTCTAGAACATGTAGACTATTTGTGCAATCTACCGTGCTGTCTGAAGTTTATGTTTATTTCTAAGCTTGAATCCAGCCTCTACCCTAACACTTCTAGAATACTCAAGTGAGTGCTTCAACAATGTAGCTGAACAGTATTTTCACGCACTCAGGATACTGTAGGCTTGTGAGAGTTATACTACTTATATTCTTTCAATATCCAGTAAGGGTGCAACTGAAGCGATGGTGATCAACGAACTCCGACCTCTCGGCTAGTGGTTTGAGCATCTGGCTCTCTGGCCACGAGTGGCTACATCTTGTAGTTTCATAAGGTACGAACCAGTGATGATTACTGTTAAGGATGAAACAACTATCTTGTGCTTCTCGGCTTTTGAACATGACTTCACTCATAGGAACGAATCCCCAGTGAGAAAGGATAACAGCATGGTTTTAGCTCCGTTAATAATGTTTTCTGGCTAATGACATGTTAACTGTTTTGCGAAATATACCGACAATTACTAGTCTTACGTTCTTATTCGCATACGTGCAAACGGATGTTTCCGTGTTGACACCAGTAGTGAACCTATCTTCCTTTTAGATACTATGCCTTCCGTTTCAACTTCTGAAGCGCCTTTTGGATCAGTTATTTAGTACGCTGCTGTATTTCCACCTGGATTGTTTTCTTGCACAAAACACTGTGTGGCAGGGAACCTACGCCGTGAACCTACGCCACTAAATGTTGCGTGGAAAGGTCCGCCAACGTTTTGTAGGCTTTTCTTGTTGATGCGCTGTTTACGGAGTGTCGCAATTCACACCGAGCTATGATGAAGTTCAAAGGGTGAAACGTGGATCTCTGAGTATCTTTGCTGAATCATTGGTGAGAACACCCTCCATACAGACGCAGAATAACCTATCGCTTGTTATACCGATTATCCTTAGAAGAATGACTGCTCCTGTTCCCGTCATAGGTAAGTGAGAAGCGTCATCATCAGTGACGTGCACGTCTTGGTGCCCGTGCGCACACATTAGCTGCGTCAGGACCATATCGGTCAGATTAGAACGATGCCCATAGAGCCGACACCAAGTATGCGAGCAAGAAATGATCTGTTTGGTACAATAAATGAGACAGAGAGGAGAACGAAATTATTTCAGGCACCCTACTAATCACAGCTCTTTTGTAGACTGGGTGATCAACAGGTCGTTCCCCGATATACGTTCCACCACCAACGTCGCCAAACATAAACAGTGACACATTTAAACGTTAGACCGTTTATCAGTCTTTTTTGCCAAGTCAGTGAACTGGTACACTTTCACTGTCAACACAGGAAGCAAGAGAATATTTTCCACGAAAACAAAGTGTGAGATTGCGCAAGCGAAATTCGATTGTCCCACAAGCGGTTAATTTGTTGGAGCTTAGCGTCCTTAGTTTCCCTTTCCCTTATATACTCAATATGTCGGTTGAAACAACATGCAATGCATACAGGTGGGGCCCCGTAAAATTTTTTTGTACTTCTTGAATTTTCGACAAACAGTTTTCAACTACGACGTTCTGTTTCCGGCTTCCAAGTGTCATCCATAGCAGTCCATTGGTTTATTTGCATTTGAACTCCAATCGGTTGGCCATGGGTCAGTGGGCTGGTTCAACCTGAACGCATAGAGCACCTGTTTTTATCACTCAACTCACCCGGAAAGGTTAATCGATCTCTCACAACTCTGTCCGCTTCAGTATGAACAGCACACCCATGGCCACCTGACCAGTGGATTTTTTCTCCCCCAGTTGACTGGTTACACGACCACATAAATGCGTGGGATGACGCAAAGGTTTACGAGAATGATCATTTACGTGTCGTGTGACTACTCGGTGGGTGATATTCGGTCAGTTTTAGTTGACGTAGATACAGATGACAAAGGAATCAAAAAATAACACAGAACACGCAAAACTAACGCAAATGGTTGGAAATTTCTTCTGAATGCGTGGGTCGGAGTCACAAAAGTGGATGGCAGCATACTCGGCCATGTTTGGAGATGTTCTAAGCATGAATATGAGCAAGCATTAGACCTAATGTGACATGTGACATTAAATTTAACCACAGGCGCTTATGCCTACTTGCCTACATATTTTAAATTTCTCCACAAAAGTAACTGAAACGCTTTAAGTTTTAAGTAGCTGAGCGCAATTTCTCCTACATGCAGATATTCTAAATTGAAGAAAAAGTGTTGAACTACCCTGTTGCGCTCCTAATATAACTGCCGTCACTGATCTCAAAGTCAGATGAATTTTACTTGAGTATTGGAACGTCTTCCTCTTGAATGTTATACTGATGAGTGGAATAAAGCGTTTACTTGATTGTTTTGACGGAATACACCCCTTCTTCTACTAATATTCGAAGAATCACGATTATACTCAGCGATCCCCACAATTGCTACGTCAAGTTCTCACGGCAGATTTTGAAGTGACGTTCAATTCACAATCATTTGGTTGACAAGAAATCGGTAGGCCACTCAAAGCGTTATAGCTAGATGTATGTATATCTGCGCACACAGTGCGCAATATGCTACTATATGAAATGTTTGGGTATTCAGATTATTTTAGGCAGTAAAAGTGGTTCACACTGCATGCACCTAGATGTATGCATATCTGCGCACACAGTGCGCAATATACTACTATACGAAATGTTTGGGTATTCAGATTATTTAAGGCAGTAAAAGTGGTTCACACTGCATGCATTTGAAGAACGTCGGATGAAATGCTTTATTTTCACTACAGGCGTTCTAAGATTCCTGGTTTTCTCACAGGAATGACCACGCCGAACGCAAAATTCCTTAAACTGCCCTCGTTCCAAGACTATTGTAATCTACTTCCCTTTTGCTTTGAGATTTTGTAGCCTGTCGGTACTTTAGCATCAGTGTATTAGAAATAAACCAGGTGCTGCTATTTAGTTCCATATTAACTCCCGATTAAACCTCTCCTAGCAATTTTTATTCGTCAGAGTCAATGGTTCGTAACAGCTTCATATTTCCCAACGAACCCTAAAAGGTTACTTTTGTTACACCACAGATAACGGATAAAATGAAGTTGGCTCCTTTTATTATGGAACGTGCAAGTTCGGAAACTCTCACGTCTTCTTCTGAGGATAAAAGGACCACTAGAAGCAGTGATTCCAGTTGACAGTTTCTGATTAGCTTCGGTGTGTTCATTAGTATCCACGCTCCCATTCTCCTCGTGAATCAACACACAACGGGATTTTTTTTACCAAAGAAACCAGTGCTGTATGATCTTACGGGTTTTGCGAAATACCGAGACCTCCATAATGGTTGACTATTGTCTTGATTACACACTGTCAGCTCTCCATAAAATGTTTCTCAACATACTCAGCAGTGGCCACGTCCTCCTTGGGCAAACCAGATTATGCATGTCGCATATATATTCTTATACATATTTTTCGATTTACAGTGCAAATCCACTCAACTTTCCAATACTCTGTTTCATCAGATCTCTTGGTTGGTGGCAATCTTAGACCTCGGGAACTACATTTTTCAGCCCCGCAGGCTTATAATATTTTATCATATCTTGTCGCTGGCCTTCAAATGCGGTATTTAAGTTTTATCATACACTCAAGCCGTAACCTTGTGGGTATAAGTGTGCACAACTCGCCAAAATATCTGGATAATGCAAGTACTGCCTTGTTCGGCTTCAGTGGGGAGTTAATGCGAGCAGATGAAGTTTTTTTGCGGCGCGTCTAGCCGATGCAGATTGCAAGCTGTATACACTAGCAAGTTACATAAAATTTCAATTACTCACGTAGGAT